CTTCTATTAGTGGACTGGGGAAGGGGTATGGGTGGGATAGAGGGAGGGAGGGAGGGAGCTACATGTGGGATACAAAGTGAATAAAATGTAATTAATAAAAAAAGAAAATAAAAATAAAACTAAGCTTACATATTTAAAAAATAAGTAAATGAAGGCAAAAGAAATAAAATACTGAATTTATGGTCTAAAAAGGAACATATTGTATAATGTTCAAATGTAAGTATATCCCATTAAATATTTATCATTTTTTTATAGCAAAAGTTCCCAATGCACTTTAAACGAGTTCTGCATAGTTTATAATTAATAAAACCTGGAGTTCTAGGGTATACCCCACTTTTTTTTTCTAGCTGATTTAATGTGTCTGGTTTTATGTTGAGGTCTTTGATCCACTTGGATTTCAGTTTTGTGCAGGGTCATAAGTATGGATCTATTTTCATTTTTCTACATGTAGACATCCAGTTGGACCAGCACCATTTGCTGAAGATGCTATCTTTTTTCCACTGTATGGTTTTGGCATCTTTGTCAAAAATTAGGTGTCCGTAAGTGTGTGGGTTTATTTCTGGGTCTTCTGTTCGGTTCCATTGATCCACCATTCTGTTTCTATGCCAGTACCATGCAGTTTTTATAACTGTTGCTCTATAGTACAGCTTGAGATCAGGGATGGAGATACCTCCAGAAGATCTTTTATTGTAGAGGATTGCTTTAGCAATTCTCGGTTTCTTGTTATTCCATACGAAGTTGAGAATTTTTCTTTCAAGGTCTGTAAAGAATTGTGTTGGCAATTTGATGGGAATTGCATTAAATCTGTAGACTGCTTTTGGTAAGATGGCCATTTTTACTATGTTAATCCTGCCAAGCCATGCGCATGGGAGATCTCTCCATCTTCTGATATCTTCTTCTAATTCTTTCTTCAGAGACTTGAAATTTTTTTCATACAAGTCTTTGACTTGCTTGGTTAGGGTTACACCAAGGTACTTTATGTCATTTGTGGCTATTGTGAAGGGTGTTGTTTCCCTAATTTCTTTCTCAGCCCTTTTGTCTTTTGTATACAGGAGTGCTACTGATTTTTTTTTTTTGAGTTAATTTTGTATCCGGCCACTTTGCTAAAGGTATTTATCAACTGTCTTTTGTCAAAACAACAGAAGGCAAACCAGGACAAATCCTTTAAAAAAAAATGACTAGTTCATTATGTATAGCAACTGCACAGAGCCAGAGATACAAGAACTCCTAACCTTAACTTAAACACTTACCATCCTTTCCCTCCAACTGTGTCCTTTGGTATTCATTAGCTTGATTTAAAGGCCTTGTTAAAACAGACTCCTAGACTCACTCCCCAGCGATTCTGATTCACTAGGTCTGAATAGAGCCAAGACTCCCATTTACATCAAGTTTCCCTTTGACTCTGAGGTTGCAGCTACACGAGCCCCATTATAATGTGGTGATTTAGTATCTCAAAAAAGAATAAAGAAAAAAGGAAATGAAGGGAGGAGAGAAGAAAGGCAGGAGGGAAGAAAGGAAGGAAGGAAGGAAGGAAGGAAGGAAGGAAGGAAGGAAAGAAGGAAGGAAGGAAGGAAGAAAGGAAGGAAAAGGAAACTAGAGGCTAGAATAAAAGGTGGTGAATGTTTGTAAACATGTACTCCTAACTTCCCATTTCAGCGTCCTATTTCATGGTTGCCTCAGCAGACAAGGGAGCTGATCAAATTGTAGATAACATGCTAGGTTTTAGGCAGCAAGGAAGCAGGGATGGCAACAGCTTTTCTCCCAGATAACAACTCTATGCAGAATAGTGTGAACTAGTCAAGCCTCCTACATTAATTAGACATAGAACCTCTAAGTGCAGTGTTGTCACAAGTCAACTTTTGAATGCAACGATAATCATATTTTTTTCAGAGGGTTTGATATGTGATCCTTTGCTTGTAAATAGGGTAACCCATCCTGGCATCCTCCTCCTCCTTCTCTTCCTGTCCCTCTCTCCTTCCTGTGATTCCTTGTGGGAGTCTCCAAACAGGAGAACCGGAGGCATACCTAACCCCTTCTGCCACGTCCAGGTATAGGCTGATTAATTAGCCCATCCGGAATGGAATAATGACTTAGGCAGGTTGACACAGAGGGCCAGTAATTAGCATCAGACCAATCTCCAACACCTGGGGGTCCCCACAACCCTGCCCTACTTGGTAACCAGAAGCTGACCAGGGGAGGCTAGGAGCTCTGTGCAGTATCTTGTGCTCAGAGTTTCCATAGAACTGAGTGGAAGGGGATCTACCGTGAGACATACTGGGTTGTCCTGGCTCTGTCCTGGGCTGTTTGCAGACACTCTCTTTCTCTGCAACCTACCTAATAACTGTCATCCTGTCAAGTGAGAGCCATTTCAGGCTCTGCTTCCTGGAAGCCTCATTGTATGGGACAAAGTCTCTGGAGAGTAGGACCCAAGCTCTTGTCCACAGAAGATGGCTAGGTCTGTGTGATTCTGGTCACCCATGGGTCTTCAGTGAGGAAGTGTCAGCGGGTTCATAGGTCGTATGTGTGACAGTTGGAGAAGGGATCCAAATGCTTGCTGGGTAAACACCAGTGGAGGCACAGAAGTTCCTCTCACCTGGAAACAAGGATTGACATTTGAGTTTGGAGGTCATGCCAGAGACCCATATGACTCTATGTCTTTCGCCTAGGTCTTTACCATTCTGAACCTTTCTTCTTCTTTAGGCTTGGGACCCTTCAGGTGTAGGGATAGGCCCAGGCCCATATCTCTTCTTAGTATCCAGGCCTATTCCATGTTAGGGATAGACCCAGGCCAACATCTCTACTTTTTAGGCCCAGGCCTCTAGAGGGCTGGTGATAGGCCCAGTCTCACAACTCTTCTTCTTTGGGCCCAGGCCTTTTCAGTGTTAGGGATAGGTCCAGGTCCACACCTCTTCTACTTTGGGTCTAGGCCACTTTATGGTTAGGGATAGCCCCAGGACCACATCACTTTTTCTTTAGGCCTGGGCTCCTTGGTTTAGGGAGAGGCCGAGGCCCAAATTTCTTCTTTGCGGCCATGCCTCTTCAGTGTTAGGGATAGACCCAGGCCAATACCTCTTCTTTTGCCCCAGGCCTCTTCATGGTTAGTGATAGGCCTAGGCCTAATTACTTTTTTTCTTCTAGACTTCTTCAAAGATAGGATAGGCCCAGGCATATATCTCTTTTTTGGGCACAGACTTCTTCAGGTTTAGGGGCAGGCCTAGCCACACATCTCTTCTTTGGGCCCAGGCCTCTTCATTCTTAGAGATAGACCTAGGCCCACATCTCTTCTTCCTTAGGCGCAAGCCTCTCCAGGGATAGGGACAGGCCCAGGCCCTCATCTCTTCAACTTGAGGCCCAGGCCCCTTCAGGTTATGGAGAGGCGCAGTCTCTCATCCCTTCTTAGTGCCCAGGCCTATTTAGTGTTAAGGATAGGCCTGGCCCACATCACATCTTCTTTGGGTCCAGGCCTGTTCAGGGTAAGAAATAGGGCCAGGTCCATACACATTCTTCTTTCGTTCCAAGCATCTTTAGAGTTAGGGTTAAGCCAAGACTAACATCTCCTCTTCCTAGAGCCCAGGTCTCTTCAGGATTAAGGACTGGCCCAAGCCCATACTTCTACTTTGGGCTCAGGCTTCTTCAGTGTTAAGGATTAGCCCAGTCCATACCTCTTAATCTTGGGCCCAGGCCAATTTGTGGTTAGGGGTAGGCCCAGGCCCATACCTCTTCTTCTTTGGGCCCAGGCCTCTTCAGGTTTAGGTATAGGCCAGGGCCCACATCTCTTATTCCAGAGGCCCAGGCTTCTTCACAGTTAGAGACAGACCCAGGCCCATGTCACTTCTTCTTTATTCCCGGGCCCATTCAGGTTTAGGGACAGCCCAAGTTCACCATTGCTTTTTTGTGCTCAGGACTCTTCAGGGTTAGTGATGGGCCCAGGCCCACACTTCTTCTTTGGCCATAGGCCTATTCAGTGTTATGGATAGGCCCAGGCACACATATCTTCTTCCTTGGGCCCATGACTCTTCAGGGTCTCTGACTGTGAATCCCATGGAACGGGACTAGCAAGGGTCTGCAGGTACCTGGGAACTATTTGACCAGTGACTTGATTTTGTGAAGAAAGTTCACTGGATTATAACTGTGTGTCGCATACGGTTACTTCTGTCAGAAGTGAGTTATCATGACAGAAAAACTGGCCTTGAAGTCCTAAATTCTTATTTCCTTCTTGTCAAAGAAAAAGTCACTAACAATTCATCCAGCAAATGTCTGCTATGCATTTGTTAACTCAACCCAACTTGGCTAGGCTGAATTAAAACTTGACCAATTTTGTCAGTTTACCAATGATTGTTATTAGATACACCCTCTATTCCAGTGATTATGTCTTATATTTCAGTCATTTCAGTAATATCCCGTGGTTGGTTTAGCTTCCAGTTTCTTGTTGACTAATGGTAAGAAATAAAACTTTGCGTGTGCATCAGGTACATGTAGGGTTTTTTTTTTTTTTGTATTTATGTTTGTTTGTTTTTGAACAAGTGGTTGTTCAATCACTTTGCTAATTTTAAAAATATGTGCTGACTTTCTAATTTTACAGCATTTTTAAAAGAGTTAATTTCATGTGCTGTTCACAGTTCCATTTGGTCTCATGGGTACTTTGGTTATTAATCAACTGGTTCCACTCTGATAAGAATTGTGGGTAGGAATGGAGAAACTCTCCCAATGTCATAGTCTTTCCCCTGAGTGTGTAAGACCTATAGTATGGATCCAGTGAGTCATTTCTGGTTCCTAAGTCTAAGAGTTATGGGCTTGTTATCCCAGACTTCACAAGGCAGGGATTTAGGACTCTAGGTAGACATAAGCTTTTTCTCAAAGTATCAAATCTTTGGTCTATGTCTGCTGGCCTATAACAGTCTGTTTTCAGGGTGTGTTTATACTAGAAAGTGAAAATGAATGTCAGCTGCTATATTTGACAGAAACCAAAATTATCCATTCAGGTTGTTCTTTGATATCTCTCATGCTACTCTCTCCTTCCACAGTACTCTTCTCAGGGCACCCTTGACCTCAGTGTTCCTCAGGGTGTAGATCAGGGGGTTCAGCATGGGGTTGAAAAGGCTGTAAAACAGAGAAAGGATCTTCTGCTGTGTTTCAGGGTGCTGGGACTTGGGGGCCATGTACATGATGATGGCGCTGCCAAAGAAGAGCCCAACCACACAGAGGTGGGAGGAGCAGGTGGAGAAGGCCTTTCTGCGGCCCTCCCCTGACTGGATCCTCAGGATGGCCACCAGGATGCGTGTGTAGGAGATCAGAACCAAGCACAGTGGTCCCACTAAGATGAACACACAGGCAGCAAAGATGACTACTTGGTTGAGTGTTGTGTCAGCACAGGCCAGCTTGAGGACAGACAGGATTTCACAGAAGAAGTGGTTGATTTCATGAGGCCCACAGAAGGGCAGCCTCAGGATGAGAACTAAATGGACCAGTGCCAGGAGAAAGCTAAATATCCAGGAAACAGCAGCCAGGATGGCACACACTCTCCAGCTCATGGTGACAGTGTAGTGTAGGGGGTGACATATAGCCACAAATCGATCGTAGGACATCACAACTAAAATCAGGCACTCTATGTGAGCAAAAGCCAAATACAAGAATGTTTGCATTATGCATGGTATAAAGGAGATGGTTTTTCTTTGAATCACAAGATTGGCCAGCATCTTGGGGACATTGTTGGAAGCATAAGACATGTCAACAATGGCCAGGTGGGAGAGGAAGAAGTACATGGGGGTGTGAAGTCTGTGGTCCAGGCATATTATTGCAAGGATAACCCCATTCCCCCAAAGGGTAAAGGAATAAAAAAGAGAGAAAAGCACAAAGAGGAACCCTTCCACAGCCGGATCAGCTTGGAATCCCAGTAGAGTGACCTCTGTGATCCACGTCTCGTTGTTTCTCATTCTCCTGTGCAAAGACTGTTCAGAACCAACAGCTCAGAACTGTGGAATAATCAACGATACAAAAGGTTTAATGATTATGACAGAGAAACATTTTTAAATTCACCACCTAGGATGAAGTCTTGGGTTTTGTTTTCAGGTATATTCCAAAATTCACTTTATGATAGTTACCAAAATGAAAAAAACTTGGCCAGGCTGTGTTGAGACATGCCTTTAATTCCAGCATTCAGAAAGTAGAGGCATGGGCATGAGTTCAAGGCTAGTTTGTTCTACAGAGTTGAGCTCCCGGAAAACCAAGGCTACACAGAGAGACCCTGTCTTGAAGAAGACAGAGAGAGAGAGAGAGAGAGAGAGAGAGAGACAGACAGACAGACAGACAAATAGACACACAAAGGTTCTTGCTTTGTGTTTAGGATATTAATGGAAAAGGCTGATGAGATGGTCAGTGGGTTACAGTGCTTGCTGCCCAGCCTGACAAGCTAAATTGAGTCCCCGTACTCACAAGGTGAAAAGAAAGAACCAAGTGTACAAGGTGACCTTTGATTTCCACATGTACTCTATGGGCACATCCAGATGCATGTACACACACATGTACCACAGTAAATTAATAGATACACAGAGAGATAGGGAGATAAATGAATAAATAAACATTTAAAAAGCTAAGTATATACATGTCCATATCAGTACACACATACACACACAGAGACATATGTAACCAATATTATCACACCACAATATGTTTCAGTGTGACCCATGTAAGAGGATTCACTTTCAAATATGCATACATGAATTGTTTTGGGAATTCACATCTTCTGCTTCCGTTTTCATATGAAAGTCTTGACCACTCACATGATTTGAAAAAAGACAGTCTTGATAAAATGAAGTTGGCATTTTCACTTCATTTCCTGGGCTTGCCTGTCTTCTGCATACAATTCTGATGTGGCTATGTCTCTGTGTTCTTTCTTCCTAGACCATTCAGCTTCTCATGTGCTTTGTATGCATGTCTGAACAACCTCAACATTGTAGTTCCTTTAAAACTTTAGACTTTCCTCTTCAGCAGCGTTCAGGGCTTATCTGCCCCTGTGTTTAGTAGGTGTTGCTTTATTTTGAATTCTGTGTGCTTCTTCACCAATACCCAATACCTAGATTAGTCATAATTTAAATAACACTTTGGGCATGTACAATGGATACTTACATATACCTTAAGGATAGTCATGTACCATGCAGTGATGTTCATATAGGTGTTGATCCCATAAGGTCATTTTTTTAATGAGGTTCCTTCTTAGTCTGTGATGTATACACTCACTGGTGCTCACACAATGACATAATTGTCGAATGTGGGTTTTTCAGCCCATACCAATCATTAAATGACACATGACTGTACTATTCAACATTTGACCTTCTGACTCTTCTGAGATAAAGCACTCAAAAGGGGAAAACCGTTTACAGTAGCAGTAAAATGATAACTTCATTTTAATTACATTTTGTTTGGTTCTTTCCTTTTATGTCCAATTTATGTCCCAGAATGTCACTATCTTTTGTCCATGACAACTCAGATGGCCATCAAATCTTTTCTAAGGATCCTCTTCATCACCAATGAACTTGCTAGCACCTGTTGCTCTTCAGATGAATCCTGGGGTTCATACAAGATGCTAAGGGTTGGTGCTAGTGTTGTTTCACCCTAGAGAGCTTTTTCTTAGAGGGCTTTGGGTCTGTCCAGACAGAATACCAAGGTTGGTTTTGAAAGGGACAGGAGAAGACACTACTTAAACCATCTATTGAATGTGTACTGTCACATCACATTTTATCCACACCACCACCCATAGAAACAATTCTGTATTTTAAAAATATGTTAACATTTTAAACTCAAAGGGTATTTTTTAAAATCAAAATATTTAGAGCCTTAATACAATTTGAGTTTCTTATAAGAGTGATTTTTCACTTATTAAAAGGAGTACTTTCAGGGTCATTTGATTTGCATCTCTCTGATGGCTAAGAATGTTGAGCATCTCTTTAAGTGTTTCTCTGCTATTCTATATTCCTCTATAGAGAATTCTCTGTTTAGCTCCATACACCAGTTTTTAATTGGATAACCTGATTTATTGATTTTTAACTTCTTTAGTTCTTTAAATATTCTGGATATCAGCCCTCTGTCAGATATAGGGTTAGTTAAGATCCTTTCCCAGTCTGTAGGCAGTTGTTTTATTCTGACGACAGTGTCTTTTGCTTTACAGAAATGACCCTGAGATTCCACCTTACACCCATCAAAATGGCTAAAATAAAAAACTCAAATGACAACACATGCTGGAGAGGTTGTGGAGAAAGGGGAACCCTCCTCTGTTGCTGGTGGGAATGTAAACTGGTACAACCACTCTGGAAATTAATCTGGTGTTTTCTCAGACAATTAGGAATAGTGCTTCCTCAAGACCCATCTATACCACTCCTAGGCATATACCCAAAATTTGATCAAGTACACAACAAGGACATATGCTTAACCATATTTGTAGCAGCTTTATTTGTAAGAGCCAGAACCTGGAAACAACCCAGATGTCCATCAATGGAGGAATGGATACAGAAATTGTGGTATTTTTACACAATGGAATACTACTCAGCAATTAAAAACGAGGAAATCATGAAATTTGCAGGCAAATGGTGGGATCTAGAAAAGATCATTCTGAGTGAGGTATCCCAGAAGGAGAAAGACACACATGGTATGTACTCACTTATATAGACCTGTAAGATATGATAAACATAATGAAATCTATACAAGAAAGCAGACATGGGGTAAGTTGATCAATCTTCACTTTGAAAGACAAATGGGATGGACATTGGAAGTAGGGAAAACAAGTAACAGGACAGGAACCTACTGCAGAGGGCCTCTGAAAGACTCTACCTAGCAGTTTATCAAAGCAGATACTAAGACTCATAACCAAACCTTTGGCAGAGTGCAGGGGATCATATGAAAGAAGGGGAGTTAGTATGATGTGGAGAGGATAGGAGCTCCACAAGGACCAAATGTATCTGGGCACAGGGGTCTTTTCTGAGACTGATACTCCACCAAGGACCATGTATGGATATAACCTAGAACCTCTGCTCGAATGTAGCCCGTGGTAGCTCAGAAAAAGGGAACAGGGACTATTTTTGACATGAATTCAATGGCAGGCTCTTTGACCTTCCCACCTCCAAGGCAGGAGTAGTCCTGCTAGGCCACAGAGGAGGCTTTGTAGCCAGTCCTGAAGATACCTGATAAAACAGGGTCAGATGAAAGGGGAGGAGGTCCTCCCCAATCAGTGAACTTGGAAAGGGGAAGGGAGGAGATGAGGTAGGGAGGGTGGGATTGGAAGGGAATGAGGGAGCAGGATACAGCTGGGATACAGAGTTAATAAAATGTAACTAATAATAAAAAGAAAAAATAATTTACCAAATGGTGACAGTCTACAGAATAAATATTGTTCATTATGAAATTATATATGTTTAAGACTAGATAATAAATAATTTTTTTAACATGTAAAAATAAAGAAAAAAAGGAGTACTTTCTTCTGGATATACGCCTACCAGTGGTATACCTGGATCTTGAGGAAGCGCTATTCTTAATTGTCTGAGAAAGTGCCAGATTGATTTCCAAACTGGTTGTATAAGTTTACATTCCCACCAGCAGTGGAGGAGGGTTCTCCTTTCTCCACATCCTCTCCATCATGTGTTGTCACTTGATTTATTCATTTTAGCCATTCCTATGGGCATAAGGTAAAATCTATGGGTTGTTTTGATTTGCATTTCCCTGATGACGAAGGAAGTTGAACATTTCTTTAAGTGTTTCTCTGCCATTCGATATTTGTTTATTGATAATTCTCTGTTTAGCTCTGTTCCCCATTTTTAATTGGATTACTTAGTTTGTTGCTTTTTAGCTTCTTTAGTTCTTTATATATACTGGATATTAGTCCTCTGTCAGATATTGGGTTAGCGAAGATTCTTTCCCAATCTGTAGGCAGTCGTTTTGTTTTGATGACAGTGTCCTTTGCTTTACAGAAGCTTTTCAGTTTCATGAAGTCCCATTATTGATTGTTGCTCTTAGAGCCTGTGCTGTTGGTGTTCTGCTCAGGAAGTTGTCTCCTGTGACAATGAGTTCAAGGCTCTTCCCCACTTTTTCTTCTAACCGATTTAGTGTGTCTGGATTTATGTTGAAGTCTTTGATCCACTTGGACTTTAGTTTTGTGCAGGGTGATAAGTATAGATCTATTTTCATTTTTCTACATGTAGACATCCAGTTAGACCAGCACCATTTGTTGAAGGTGCTATCTTTTTTTCATTGTATGGTTTTGTCATCTTTGTCAAAAATCAGGTGTCCATAAGTGTGCGGGTTTATTTCTAGGCTTTCTGCTCAATTTCATTGATCCACCATTCTGTTTCTATGCCAGTACCATGTAGTTTTTATTACTTCTGCTCTATATACAGCTTGAGATCAGGGATGGAGATACCTCCAGAAGATCCTTTATTGTAGAGGATTATTTTAGCAATTCTGGGTTTCTTGTTATTCCATATGAAGTTGAGAATTTTTCTTTCAAGGTCTGGAAAGAATTGTGTTGGTATTTTGATAGGAATTTCATTGAATCTCTAGATTGCTTTTGATAAGATTGCCATTTTTACTATGTTAATCCTGCCAAGCCATGATGCTCAAGTATACAACAAGGACATCTGCTCAACCGTGTTTGTAGCAGCTTTATTTGTAAGAGCCAGAAGCTGGAAACAGCCCACATGCCTCTCAGTTGAGTAATGGATACAGAAATTGTGTAGAATATTGGAATATTACCAATATTCCAATGGAATATTACTTAGCAATAAAAAACAAGGAAATCATGAAATTTGCAGGTAAAGGGTGGGAACTGGAAAAGATCATCCTGAGTGAGCTATCCTAGAAGCAGAAAGATAACATGGTATATACTCGCTCATAAGAGTATACTAGACATGTATTATAGGATAAACATACTAAAATCTGTACACCTAAG